TCCATTGTCTGTCTCTGCGGGGAACTGAGGGTGCCCCCAACTCTCAGTTTGGGGGCGGGATCTGTAGGGTTCCATTCTATTGATGTTTCATAATGTATTTAATCATTCTCTTATTGAAATAGTTTGTAATCTTTAGTTATTACAAATGCTGAGGTATATTTTTGTACTCACTTTTTGGATAAACTCCTCGTAGTGGGACTCCTGGGTCTAAAGGTTGTGCAATTAATACTTCTACTAGCATATGTTCATACCCTTCCATGCAGTACGTGTACATTTTGGGATCTTTGCTGTTAACCTTAAAAATAAAACTTATTTTGCCAGCAAAATGGGTGTATTCAGGAATAGCAGAGAACTGCAATTCAAGACAAGAAAGCTAGGGCAAAACCATAGGCAAGTTGCAGAAACAGGACAGAAATGCTTTTATTATTTTTTTTAAGATTTTATTTATTTATTTATTTGTCAGAGAGAGAACACAAGCAGGGGGAGCGGCAGGCAGTGGGAGAGGGAGAAGCAGGCTCCCCGCTGAGCAGGGAGCCGGATGTGGGACTCGATCCGGGGACTCCAGGATCATGACCTAAGTGGAAGGCAGACGCTTAACCGACTGAGCCACCCAGGCGCCCCAAAAATGCTGTTTTAGAGAGGAAGGGGAGTGGGGCTTGGGAAGACTGTAATAAGCAAAAACCCCTTTGGAATAAACTGGGAACTGGAAGTATAGTGGCTTCTCGTTGGCTGAGTGTGCTCTCGTTTGCTGGGCTCTGACCATCTCTCATTGGCTGGGCTCTGCTCTCATTGGCTGGACTGTGCTCTCAGTGGCTGGGCTGTGACTAACTCTCATTGGCTGAGCTGTGCTCTCATTGGCTGGGCTCTGCTCTTATTGGCTGGGCTGTCCGAATGGGCGGAACCCCTCCTTCCCCCGCGGCGCAGTGAAGCCCGGGATTCTTCCCGCTGGGAATGCAGAGGGCTGCGAGGAGGGAGTGGTGGGCGGGAGAGCTCCCCCTGCTGGCCTCCACTGCGTGTTAGGTTTCCTTTATTGCGTTTCATTGCCTAGGAATTGAACATACATATGGGAATATCTTAAGACCCATAGTTGTTAAGAAACGTAACTTAAGGGGCGCCTGGGTGGCTCAGTCGGTTGAGCGGCTGCCTTCGGCTCGGGTCATGATCCCAGGGTCCTGGGGTCGAGGCCCGGGTCGGGCTGCCTGCTCAGTGGGGAGCCTGCATCTCCCTCTGCCTGCGGGTCGGCCTACTTATGCTCTTTTGTCAAATAAATAAAATCTTAAAAAAAAAAAGAAACGTAACTTAAATGTCCAATAATGGATTAATACTTAAGTAATGGTACCTCTCCTTGATGCCATCTTACACATGTACTAAAAGTATTGGTGAAGAGTTTAATAGATCCAAGGGATCTTTCCTTCATTCCAGAAACCTTTATTGCACTGACCAGTTGTCCCAGCAAATGAACTCAATTCTGACTCTACCTGCCTGAAGAGAGCACCACAGGTGAAGGACTCAGTTCCACAAGACAGCCCCCAGTTCAGACACCAGTCCAGGTTGTCTCCTGTGCTTCTGACAGACCAGCTACTGATCGGAGGTCCCCACGATCCCTTCCTCTGGTTCCATTCATTTGCTAGAGCAGCTCACAGAACTTGGAGACTGATTGACTTAGTAGATTAAGGGTGTATCACGAAGGACGTTAGAGGAAATGAATGAATGGCCAGAAGTAGAGATACATAGGGTGAGGTCTGCAAGGGTCCCTGGTCCCTTCTGCCTCATGGAGTTTGGGGCCCAGGGGCCTGGCACGTGGTTCACCAACCTGGAAGCCTTCTGACCCCCCCCTTCTTTTGAGTTTTTATGGAAACTCCAACCCTCTAATCACAGTTGATCCCCCTGGCACCCAGCCCCCATCCTTAGGGCCTTCCCAAAGTCCACTCATGAACATAAACCCAGCTGTGGGGGAGAGGGGCTGGTTAAACAGAACAAGACACCTGCTTCACCTTCGTGGCTCTGAGGGGAGTTCCGGAACTGCGGACAAGAGACGAACGGTGGTAACAAAAGATGTGCCCTTTGCTCTTAGAAATGCCAAGGGTTTGTGGATGAAGACCAAAAAACATATCACAATATCACAACTTCCCATTAATTCATTTTGTGTTTCTCATAATAACTTGCATGTAGGTGGAGCTCAGTAAATGTTTGGGTGAAGACTGTAGGGGAAGAGTTGTTCCAGATGCTGAGTGACTTGGGGCATTTAACAGCTGTGGCTGTAGCCAGAGCATCTTCTTCTCTTCCTGACCATCCGGCCAGTTTTCAGTAGAAAATTTCCTTTGGAGACTTATCAGCTTGCACTCAGAAGAACTGCTTGACGGGTGCTTTTTATACAAGTCTCTGATGCAGCAGAATTTCCTTCAGGGTCTGTGGGCATCTCTGCAGGAGTGTGGGGACGAGGGAGAAGCACTGTTTTCTCTGCTGTGTGTATTTCCTGTACTTTCTGCTGGGAAAGATCTACAGTTGTAGGTCTTCTTGAGCAAGACTGTAAGAATCGTTTCTTGCTCTTGGCATTGGCAGCTGAGGCTCAGGGGGTTTGAGTGACTTGATGAGACTGGTAGTGAGCTAGGGCTCTGACTCTCCTTTGGGCGCCCTTGGCCCTGCACGTATACCTTTCTTTGTCATGTTCTTCTTTCTCTTGTACATACCTTTCAGAAATCTGTTCTTTTGAAAACCAGGATGACGCTTTGTGTGGTGGGAGAGGCAACAACACAGAAGCAAGTGGACTGTGAGCAGCAAGCAGGTCCCTGACCCGAGGGTGGAGTGTGCGAGGTGGTGTGCAGGGTCACTGCAGGAAGGGAGGGGGTGTCAGCTTGCCTAAAAGGAACAGGGAATCAAACGAGGGCAAAGTGATTGCTCACTGGGGTTCAGCGTTGGCTTCACGAAGGAGGTGGCATTTGGTCCTGGCCTTGACTATGGGAGATTTGGACATGCTGAGGTGGAGAAAGGTCTTTTCAGGCAGAGGAAGCTGGGTTTAGGACATATACAAGAGCCAGGGAATCCTTTTGCTTGGCTGAAAGGGGGGATATGTAAGAGGGCAGGGTGGGGGTTGAAATTGTCACTGGGATGGGATATGCTGTGCTAGGGTGGGGAGCAGAGAGCTTCAGGGGAAACCTCACTGACAGTGTGTCCAGTGGGTGGGTCTGTGCAGAGAGTTTGCAGTGTTGGTTTTGTAAGGAGCAAAAGAACACAAAAGACAAAGAGCAAACAGGAGAGTGAGTTAGGGCCATACTTCTAGAAGATGCATACTCCTGAATTGTTCTAATGTGTATGACAATGTGCTTTTAGGGTGCTTACTTCTTGCCTGAATCACAAATGAGTAAAAGAAATGCTCTCAGTTTCCTGTTTTTATGTCTGTATTTATTTTAGATTCATCACTCATTTGAGGAGGTTGTCAGTTTCATTTGTTGAAACTCTTTTCCCATCAGGGTGGAGGAATCTCTATACTGAAGTCAGAGATGTCCTGGGGGAGGGTCATCAAGGGCCTTCTCCTGGAAGAATGGACATGGTGGCCACCAGTCTTTGGGGTGTGAAAAAGGCGCCCGGTGCAGTGGGGCTGGCAGTCCTGAACTCTGGGTGAGTTGTCAGCATGATATCAAGAGATGAAGAAGTCACGCAGCTTGGTTAGACGCCACGCAGGGGCCCTAACAGCAGATCGGTAAACCCAGGAACCCTTTCCAGGCCCATGTGAGGTGAAGCTGTAGCGCCGCATGCCTCCCACGGCTGCAGACTCACTTCAGTGGGGTGTTCAGTTAGTGCTCCAAGCTTTGTATTATTCATACTGCTTTTGTTTCTTCCTGTTGCTTTCCTGGGTGTTGAGTCATTTTCTAAGTCCTGAGGTCCTGCTGAAGCTTGTGACTTGTACATTGTGTTTTGCTTTTTTTTTTTCCTGTGGAAGACCATCTCATATCCCTAATACTTAGCCTTGTGAGTGTCTCGGCTCCTGGCTTCTGGGGGTGACTTGAGAAGCCTTCCAGTGCTTCACAGAGAGAGCATGAGCTGAGTCTACCCACTGCCTTGTCTTTTGGCTGTGGGATTCCTTTGGCTGCTGCATAGTATGAGCGGCTGTGAACATTGAAGATCAAGTTTCTGCGGCAGTGTGAATCTCAGGGCATGAATGTTTGTTTCTGGAATAGTCTCTAGAACCCACTTTTTCTCCTGATAGTATTTGGTGTGAAGTCTGAGACATTTGGCTTTCTTTAAATGTCACTGCCTGTTTGTCACATCCCAAGTATGCTACAGTGTATGTCTCTGCAGAGAGCCCACCCAGAGCCCCCGCAAAGCCCCCACACCTTTGGTGTGGACCCCGTTCTCTTACCACTGGCGCTGGGTAACAGGAATTAAGAGATGTTACATCCCTTGTTTGCACAGTTCCAACTGACCTGAATTTTTTGCTCCCAAATAAGTTTTGATTTCTGAGTTGAGACTTCTTTCTCTTGTAGCCCAATAGTCATCCATGATGAGAAGGGTGGTCATTTTGGGGGACAGGAGGGAAGTGTATGATCATTCTAAGTGGTGGGGGTGGTCAAGGGCTGGCATGAGCTTAACTGTCCCTGGTCACCTGGCCACTCTCCTTTTCTGTCAGCATTACAGGTGGAAGAAGACCCGTATCTTTTTCTGCTAGTGCCTCAAGCATCTTTGGAAGAGGAGGCAACAGTAAGAAGGAGAAGCTTTTTCTGCAGGATATAGCAGAGCTGATCCAAGCCAGAGCCTGCCGGAGGGTGGTGGTCATGGTGGGGGCCGGCATCAGCACGCCTAGCGGCATTCCGGACTTCAGGTGCCCTGCAGCGCCCAGCTCCTCCCTTGGCACCCTGGTCTGCCTCAGGGTCCTGCCCTCTTCCTCCAGGCTCAGAGCCTCTTGTTCCTTTTTGCAGGTCTCCCAGGAGTGGCCTCTACAGCAGCCTGCAGCAGTACGACCTCCCCTACCCTGAGGCCATTTTTGAGCTCACTTTCTTCTCTCACAACCCCAAGCCCTTTTTCACTTTGGCCAAGGAGCTGTACCTCAGGAGCTACAGGCCCAACGTCATACACTACTTCCTCCGACTGCTTCACGACAAGGGGCTGCTGCTGCGGCTCTACACACAGAACATCGACGGGCTCGAGAGAGGTGAGCCGTCCTCCTGTCGCACCTCCTCTTACGCAGGGAAGGCTTTGGGTGCCTGCGTCTAGGCTTCACCTTGTTCTCTGATTGCAAGCCAACTCCTCATGCCTTTGTCCCTGACAAAAAGCCCACTGTGTGTTTAAGAGTCACTGTTGGGATCTCATTGGTGGACTGTGAGTTTTGGATAGAACTAAAGTTGACATGGGGAGCTTCTAGTTTTGCTAATCTGATATGATGATGTCTTTTTTAAGAAATTTATTGTGAAATTTTTTGAGCGCATAAAAATAAAGAGAGGAAGTAATGAACCCTCATGCCCTCATCAGAGCCAGTCCTTACTTTATCTGTCTTCCTACCCCCCACCTTCTCTCTCACCCCCAGTTATTTTGAAGCAAATCCATGACATCATAAACTTAACCTATAAGTACTTCACTGGGTATCTCTAGAAGATAAAGACTTTTAAAACATAACTACGATGTCATTGTCACACAAAGAGATCACTGTTCATGCCTTAGTCTTATCAAACTCTTTGTATAATGATCTCCTGGCTGTCCCGATAGCGGTCACAACCAGTGATTCACAGATGGTAGTGACTGCCGACTGTGCATCTTAGCGCAGCATCTGCTGAGCCTTTCTCTCAGGGGCAGCGACACTGACTCTTAGTGAGCCAGCTGCAGCTCAGGCAGGCTGCAGATGTCTTGTGATTTGTAAAAAGGAGTCACTTGGACTCCAGGAAAATGATTCCTTGCTGGAAGGATTCTGCAGTTTGGAACCACTTAGGCAACAGTGGATGCCCCATGGGGATGATCTCTTCTGGAGTTGCAGCAAGACAGGCCTTGTGGGAAGGTGGGAGTGTCTGGCCATAGGCTTTAGCATGTGGAGATTTATGACAGTAATGGGAACAGTGGAAGCCACTTGCAGCTGGGACTGTCTGCCCATCCATAGCTCAGAAGCTGACAGTGGGAACAGGTAACTGTCATAAATAAGTTACCTATGTTTGTTTTTCTACACCTTTTTTTTTTTCTTAATACAGTATTTATTTGTCTTTCCTCTGTCAAACCCTGAGCCAACCACTTTCCCCAGGCTACCTGGGGAGGTAGAGGAAAAGGAACATATAGGGCAGACAAGACATGGGAGAAAAACCTATGGGATGTGGAGACGGCTCCTTCACATGGCGAAGATGAGAAAGGCCACCATCAAGCAAAAGAGCCCCATGGCCTCTGAGAGGGCAAAGCCCAGAATGGCATAGGAGAAGAGCAGTTACTTCAGAGAGGGATTCCTGGCATAACCAATGATGAGGCTCCCAAACAGTCCCAATTCCAGCCCCAGAGCCCGCCATCCCTACCGTGGCAGACCCAGCCCCAAGGCACTTGGCTGTCCTGTGGATGTCCCTTGAAATGGGCGCTGGCTCGGAAGCTGCAGCTAGGAATAAGTGAAATCAGGGGACGTGGGGCTGCCAAGCTGCCGAGGCTCTTTCTTGTCTGTCAGTGTTTCTGGTGGTTTTAGCACCGCTGCAGACAGTGATCGGCTCAACAGCTGACAGGTGCTCCTGACCAGGAAGCGGGGTGGAGACAAACTTTGCACAGGCAGACATTTTCAGGGGATGAGGGGCTGTGGCAGGAGAACTGCTCCTAGTGCAGAGAAGACGGGGGGGGGTCTACATTTTTTTTTGAAACTTACTGTCTTTATATAGTTTTTGTTTTTTTTTTTTTAAGATTTATGTATTTGAGAGGGGGAGAGTGAGAGCATGTGCCTGTGGGGGGAGGAGCAGAGGGAGAGAGAGACTCTCCAGCAGACCCTCCGCTGAGCATGGAGCCTGCCTGGGGGCTTGATCCCATGACCCTGAGATCATGACCTGAGCCTAAATCAAGAGTCAGATGCTCAGCTGACTGAGCCCCCCAGGTGCCCCTATATAGTTTTTTTGCTTTTACTTGGTATCTGTAGAATAGAAAATGTTTTCCTAGGTATCAGATGTAGTTTTATTTGAACTTACATCAAACTTGTTGACAGGCTTTATTTAACCATGATTTGGCTCCATCTGGGAGCCCTGATCCCTGTGCTTATTCTCGTCAGTGGGACATTATCTGTAGGTGGAGGAGGCAGGGACACCAGGCACTGAGGGCTGTGACTCCCTCTGGGGGCCTGCCAAGCTCAGAGCTCATGCTCTGGGAGCCAGCAGCACTTAGCTTTGGTTTGAATTTCAGTATCTGGCATCCCTGCCTCAAAGCTGGTGGAAGCTCATGGATCCTTTGCCTCTGCCACGTGCACTGTCTGCCGAAGGCCCTCTCCAGGGAAGGACATTTGGGTGAGTTGTCATGCTGCCACTTCTCTCCCTTCTGCACTTTGCAGTGGGAGTGATCTGGAAAAGTGGCATTTTATAAGCATCGTATTGGAAGGACAACAACAGTAATGGTATGAAACGTTTTTATTTTTAAGTTGGAAAAGTAATACACACTTGTAAAATATTAAGAAATATATAGGGGAAAATGTATCTCCCTTCAACCAGTTCTTATAGCCCACTTGTAACAGTTTGGTGTATAATGTTCCAAGCCTTAAAAAAACTGGCATATCTAAACATACATGTCCATATATGTGTACCTACACTACACAGAGTAACAATTTTTTTGGAATAGGATTATTAAAAATTTTTTAAATTTATTTGAGAGAGAGAAAGAGAGAGCATGGGGGGGGCAGAGGGAGAGGGAGAGAGAATCTCAAGCGGACTCTGAGTGCAGAGCCTGATGCAGGGCTCAATCCCCCACGACCCTGAGATCATGACCTGAGCTTGAAACCAAGAGTTGGACACTTAACCGACTGAGCCACCCAGGCGCCCCAGTAATAGGATGATTAAGTTTAATATTCTACAAACTGCTTTGTTACAGAACAAAATTGTATGGCTATCTTGTGTCAATAACTACAGCTCTGCTTACTGTTTTTAGTAACTGGAATATTAAATTTAGCCATTCACCTACTCTGGAATATTTTTTGATGTTTGTGATTTTTACTATCAGGAAGAATGCATCAATGACACTTGTGCTCGTACCCCTATGTACTTCTGGGGATAGTTCTGTAGGATGGGTTTCTTCAAGCAGAATAGGATAGACTGGAAAATCTTAAATAAAGATAAACTCTAAAATATTGAGGCATAGGACCCCATCTTTTATTTTTTAATGAGGTCAAATTCACATACTGTAAAATTAAACATTTTAAAGTGTACAATTCGTTGGCATTTAATATATTCACAGTGTTGTGCAACCACTACCTCTATCTGATTCCAGAACATTTTCATCACCCCAAAGGGAAACTCTGCACCCACTAACCGGTCAGCCCCCTCACATAACCCCTGGCAACCACTGGTCCTTTTACTGTCTCCATGGTTTTGCCTTTTCCAGAAGTTCAGAGTTGGATTCATACATATGCAGCCTTTTCAGACTGACTTCTTCACTTAGTCAGATGCCTTTAAGTTTCCTCCATGTCTTTTCATGGCTTCATAGATCACTTCTTTTTAGTGCTGAATAATATTCCCTTGTTTGGGTGGACCACAGTTATCCATTCATCTACTGAAGGTTATCTTGGTTGCTTCCATTTTTTGGCAATTATGAACAAAGCTGCTATAAACATCCACACGCAGGTTTTTGTGCGGACATGAGTTTTCAACGCCTTTGGTAAATACCGAGGAATGTGATTGCTGGATTATATGGTAAGAGCATGTTTAGTGCCTTCCAATGTTTAGTGGCTGCACTACTTTGCATTTCCATCAGCAATGAATAAGAGCAGCATTTGGTGTTGTCTGTGTTCTAGAATTCGGCTGTTCTGATAGGTGTGTAATGGTATTGTTTTGTTTTAATGTGCAGTTCCATGATGACATATGATGTGGAGTATATTTTCAAATGCTCATTTGCCACCTGTACATCTTCTTTGGTGAGCTGTCTATTCAGGTCTTTGGCCCATTTTTTAACTAGGTTGCTCATTTTCTTATTGAGTTTTAAGAATATTTTTGTGTATTATGGATAACAGTCCTTTCTTTATCAGATATCTTTTGTAAATATTTTCTCCTCATTTGCAAATATTGTCTTCTCATTTTCTTGACAGTGTCTTTCACGGAGCAGGGTTTTTAATTTTAATGAGGTCAAACGTATTTTTCTTTCAAGGATTGTGCCTTTGGTGTTACCTCTGAAAAGTCATTGCCAACTCCTGCCCTGGCCCTTTGTAATAGCAGCAGAAACAAGGGGTGAGGGCTGGTTGTTTAGGGGCCTACATTTGCTGGAGTTGAAAATTGAGAGTGGTATGGTCTTTCTTTTAGGTGAACTCATCGAGGATGCCAATGAGCTGGTTTGCCAAGTTAACTAAGTCTGGAGTGGACAAGGTTTCCCATAGGATGATGGTTCAGCTCATTAATACATGGAGTTAAAGGCCACCTGGGTGGATTTAGCATCTAAAGGAAGAATTTTCTTTGAAGACAATGTGGAGTCGAATGTGATAGTCATGAATAGGTTCATCAGGCTTCTCTGTGCAAGCCTGAATCTTGTTTTGATTAGCAGGCTTAGGAAAACGTACTGTAATTGCTTGATGTTGGCTTGCAGCCCTCTCGGGAGCTCCTGGCTGTGATCTAAAGCCGGTCCCCGTTGGCAGAGGGCTGGGAGAGACCGAAGAGGCGGCCACTCCAGGTTTGTAGGTGTCCATTTTAATCGTCAAGGGAACTGACATAACAAGGCTTGTCCTGGGCAGCAGCAGGATGGCTGGATCCCCACACCTGCCTTCAAATCTTAAAAATTTATAAAGAGGCCATAACTGGGCTCAGCCCCGTCTACTCTGCAGGTGTTCTCAACACCACACCACATCACCATCTCAAGGCTGTGTCCTTGGAGCAGCCTCTGGGATGGGAAAGACAAGGGGAACCCACATTCCAAGGACAGGGGATTGGAGTGAGGAGCCTCCAAGTGCTGGGGTCCAGGTCACAGGTCAACTGGTGGTCATATCTTTCTGATGACCTTCTCCAACACTCAGTGGAGCTTTCCAGCGAGTGTTCTAGCACCTTGCCAAAACTCAGGCATCTGTTTCTCTAAACCCCTTTCAGGATGCTCCCATTGGGCTGGTTTTATCCAGCGTTTGGCCTGACCCTCACCAGCAAGCATGGGGACCGATTGATATAAATCTGAGAAATCAGATGAGTAAGTTTGAATAACTGTGTTACATTCTTCAGCAAATTTATGGGGTCCTCAGTCACTTTAGGAAACTCTTTCTCAATGGCTCGAAATTCAGCCTTAGTCCAGGCAACATAAGCAATTTGACGTTCACTTGGACGCCCAGCAGAGTTATCTTTAGAGGGGTAGCTATTAATAGGTTTTCAGAAGGTGGGTGGGGAGAGGGTTTGGAGGTAAAGGGAAGCTCAGCCAAAGGGTTAGAATGAGTGGTGGGTACAGGGGAGGTGGGGACAGTGCTGAGGGAAGAGGGAAGTGGCCCCAGAGGCGGGCCTGGGCGCAAGGTGGCCCCACCTGTCTGGAGACGAAGGAGAGGGGGAGGGTAAGACTCAGAAGCTGCGCTGACTTTGAGTTGTTCGCCTCTTTGCAAAATACTGTTTCTAAATTAACAAATGAACTGAAGAGGCGAACAACCTTTGAATCCTAAAAAATGTTTGGAAGCCTCAAGGTACCAATTAAAATAAGCATCCAATTCAGTTTTGACAATTTTAGAGCCATGGCTGTCCGATTCAGTTGTGAGAAAAGCAAATTTGGGGAGATGGAAAGTTCCCCATAATGGCCGTTGAAGTTGTAAATTACTTTTGGTTGAGTCAGTCCACCTAGTTCCGAGTGCACATGAGGAGGGACCACAGTTTTGAAACATAGAACAGGCTGGGGTCCCAGAAGTGTGGGAAGGTAGGGGCAGGGGCGTCCTTAAAGCATTTTGATCACTAGGATCCCGTTTCCCAGAGGCTTTCCTCTAGAGGGAAGAAAACAATTTCTAAAGCAGCACAGTTCCAGTAGGAACAGGCTGGCTCTAGAAAGGAGTCAGACCAAAGGCCAAACGAGTACTCTGAGAAAGGACAAAGCCTTAAAAAGGTCTTGAATAAAGCCTGGAGAGCTGAAAACAGAGAGTGAAGCTCAAGTCCCAGAGAAAACTGACCCTCAAACCCCAGGGTCGGAGAGAAAGCTGCAAGCCCGACTGGGTCTGTGGGTACTGGCACCTGTTGGTTTGCTCACCAGCCTCAGAGTCTCTGGAGGTACCCCTGCATCCCCTTCTGACACCAAGTGATGTTTTCCTTAAAAATAAAACTGCCAGGGTGCCTGGGTGGCTCAGATGGTTAAGCGTCTGCCTTCAGCTCAGGTCATGATCCCAGGGTCCTGGGATCGAGTCCCGCATTGGGCTCCCTTCTAGGCGGGGAGCCTGCTTCTCCCTCTGCCTCTGCCTCTCTCTCTCTCTGTCTCTCTCTCTCTCTGACTCTCATGAATAAATAAACATTAAAAAGAAAGAAAACTGCCAGTTATTTTACCAGCAAAATGGGTTTATTCAGGAATAGTAGAAAAACGCAATTTGGGAGCAGCAAACTACAGCAAAACTAGGCAAGTCCAAACAACAAAGGAGAGGGACATTTGATGAAGAGGAGGGAGTTGGGAGGGGCTGGAGAAGCAGTTCAGGGGAATGATGGTGTCTCGCCAGCTGAATCGCTGGGGTGGTCAATTTGTTGAGGGTGGTACCTGCCTTGATGGTTCTTTCCTGTTGAGGGTTCTTCTGTTGGGTCTGTAGTTCACAATTCTTCGTGGGATTGATGGTGAGTGGTAGGGTTCCTTCCAACCTCCTGATCCCACATTAGCAACGTCTCCCTTTATTAATTTTCATAATGTCCAGCACCATTTGTTGAAGAGACGAGATTTGCTCCTTTGTCAAAGATCAGTTGACTGTGTTTGTGCGAGTCTACTTCTAGGCTCTCTGTTCTGTTCCACTGATATGTTCACCTGTTCCTACAGTAGTGCCACATCCTGATTCCTGTAGCTTTTTATAATAAGTCTTGAAATCGGGTAGGGTCAGTCTTGTTCTGGTCTTTTGCTTTCCACAGAAACTTTAGAATCAGTTTGTCACTACCTGTTCTCTGCATATTTTTAAACCTTTTCTCTTTGTCTTTGGAGTTTTGCACTTTTACTGTGGTCTATCTCCATATGGATTTCCTTTTGTTTACTTATTCTCCTTTAAATTTGTAGGGCTTTCCGAATCTGTGGTTTGAGATCTTTCATCATTGCTGGAAAAATCCTTGGCCCTTGCCTCTTAGATGTTGACTGCCTCTCCCACTCCCTCTCCTCCATTGCGGAGCTCCCCTTAAACTCCCATGAGACCTTCTTAGGCTCCCACGGGTGGGAGTTCCATCTTACTTCTCTGTGCTGTGTTCCGAATAATGTCTTTTGATCTGTTTTCCAGTTTATCAACCTTCTATTCTGTTGTACAGAATAAAGCTCTTCCACTGAGTGCTAATTTTTGTTACTTTTTGTTTGTTTGTTTGGAAAAGGTTTAATGAGATGCAAAACCTCAATCACAGTAGGCTCATTTCCAGATCTGAATTGCTTGCCCCATTTTTTTTTCCAGATTTTTATTTGAATTCTAGTTAGTTAATATATAGGGTAGTATTGGTCTCAGGAGTACAATTTAGTGATTCATCACCTATATACAACACCCAGTGCCCATCACAAGTGCCTTCCTAATTTTTGATACTTTTTATTACTGGAAGTTCTCGTTGGTTCTTTTTCAAATCCACTACATTATTTTTTATAGTTTTCTATCCCCATCAGATACTTTAAACCTGTCTTTTTTTTTTTTTTAAACACTAAACACAAATTGGCCTTAATCTGTATTTGATAGTCTCTCTTTGGTCCATTGTCTCTGCTGGTTCTGGCCAGGCTCAGCTCAGCTAAAACGAGGCCAGGAGGGTTTGTCTTAGAAAATGGTGTCCTCTTTCTTAGGCCCCCTCCTTTGAAACCCAGCCCAGCACATCAACACGGGCATCTTAGGGCGAAAGGATGATTTGTGTCTACCTCACCTTGGCCTGCAAGGAAGCGGTCTGTGGTAATGCTCCTTATAACTTCAGCCTGAATGTCTTCCAGGGCTAAGGCCACATAGTGATCACTTCAGCTAAAATCAGGGACAAATTTTATACTACTTTTCTCATTGAATTACGCCTAGTGTAGGCCAAATGCCGACAGAGTACCTCCTGAGGACTGTGTCATCTACTGAGTATTTCCTTAGCATCTGAATGTCTCTGAGAACCACCCCAGGTGCACAGCATGGTGTTACATGTGCTCTTCAGGGTCCGCTCTCAAGTACTCCAACCTGTCCCCAGTTGTAGGGTGCTATGTGAGACAAAATCGGCAAAATGTCAATAAATGCCAAAGCTGGGTTCATTATTCAGTTGTTGTGAATGAAAATTTCTTAGTAAGAGCAATCTTTTTTTTTTTTTTTAAGTTTTTACTTAAATCCCAGTCAGGAAACATACAGTGTTATATTAGTTTCAGGTGTCCAGTTCAGTGACTCACACTTCCATACGTCGCCTGGTGCTCATCACAGCAAGTGTAGTCCTCAGTCCCCAACGCCCCCCACCCCCTCCACTCTAGTAGCCGTAAGTTTGTTCTCCGCAGTTAAGAGTGTTTCTTGGTTTGCCTCTCTCTCTTTCTCTCTTTTCCCCCCAATATTAAGAGCCATGTTTAGAGTGTGTTGTGACATCGCCCTTGGCCCACTTTCTCTCTGTGTTATACAGGCCGACGTGGCAGTGGACAGGATCCCCCGCTGCCCAGTCTGCACTGGCGTTGTGAAGCCTGACATCGTCTTCTTTGGGGAGGCACTTCCCCAGAGATTCCTGATGCACGTGGTTGATTTCCCCATGGCAGATCTGCTGCTCATCCTCGGGACCTCCCTGGAGGTTTGTCAGCAGGTCCAGTGGTAGACTGAAGTGTGCGCGCGTGCACGTGTGTGTGTGTGTGTGTGTGTGTGTGTGTGTGTGTGTGTGTGGTGGGGGGAGGCTGGAAGGACAGGGCCGAGGAGGTGGGGCTGGTGGGGGTGGCACCAGGTGCTCTCGGAGCCTTCTGGCATCCTAGCTTCGGAAGACGAGCAGGTTCAACTGGTGAGGAAGCAGAGGTATTCCTGGCCTAGGGAGCGACAGTCTGGGCAGAATGGGGAAGAGGGAGGATGCTCAGCTTTGGAGGCACTGTGAATGTGGGTAGGGCACAGTGTGTGAGGGGAAGGGAGAAGGGAGGGGCATGGAGAGGTGGGGCAGGACAGACTTCCCAGGCCACATCACAGAGGCCGATTTTGTGCTGGCAGAAGTGATGGACTTGAAGGGGTTGAACCAGGGACATTGCTGGTACTCCTCGGGGTCACAGAGACTGTTGGGGAGTGGGGATTGAAGCAAGATGTCCAGGAGGCTGGTCCTCATGAAGGCAGGGCTGTGGGCACAGTCAGACCATGTGACTACGAGAGAGGGCAAGGAGAGGGGCCTGGGGACAGGAGAGCGTGTGGTCCGGCTCTGTGGGCGCTCAGGCCATTTGTTGGTTAGGAGGTATTTAGAGGGAGGTTGCCAAGCTCACATCTACACGTGTGTTTGAGGTGCCTGGGACACACCCGTGGACACACTCCAGAATCTGTTCTCCATCTGGACCTGAAGCTCAGGAACCTTGCAAAGGATATGACAAGAGCAACAAATGAGCCCCTGCAATGAGCTCGGCTTGGATGTAGGCACCAAGGGGCAGAAGGGCCAGAAAGGCCTGTGCTCAGAGCCCCTGTCAGCCACAGAGGCCTAGAGTTAAGTGTGTTTATTCAGCAAATGTGCCTCCTGTGTGCCGGTCCCTGTTCTAGGGCTTTGGACAGACACAGTAGGATGTTGTAAGCAAGTGACACAGTGTTAGGTGATGGCACAATAGGGGAGAAATAACAGGGGGGACAGGAAGGCTGGGAAGGGTTGTGGACTGGTTGTGATCTCAGCTTGTTGGTTTGCGTGGCCGTGTCAGGAAGGTGACACGTGTCAGCTGAGGGTGTGTGGCAGAGGACACTGCACAGTGGCCTGTGGCCACATGGAGTGAGTGGGCAGAGGGCCGCAGTGACAAGGTCTGACCTCCTGACCTCGCGTGTGTTGTGGTGGGGAGAGCTGGTAGAGACCTGGCAGGTGGCAGTCCAGGTGGCGATGGCGGGTGGCCAGGTAACGCTGCAGAGGGCGTCGGAGCCCAGGTGTGTGAAGGGACGGTGGGTGGGAGAGTGTGGACTCCTGCAGGGCTCCGGGGTTGTGACCTGAGTGGCTGCAAAGATGGAGCTGGTTCCCTGAGACCGAGAAGCCTAGTGGGCACGTTGGGGGAACTCGGCCCCAGAGACACTGATGCGAGTGCTGTTTCAGGCTGTCCAGTGGATGCATGGCACAGGCGGGTGGATTTCCGCATCTGGAGTCCAGGCAGGAGCAGGGGTGGGACCTGGGGTGCCAGAGTGAGCAGACAGAAGAGCCCAGAATGTGGACAGACCTGTGATGCCCACACTGGGCCTGGAAGGAAGGGTAGATGTTGTGTGGCGGGGGTGGGCAGAGGGGCCAGGGGGCCGTGGTGGTCAGCGGTGAGTGGTGTGGAGTCTGGCAGCTGCCCTGTGCCAGCCACCAGCAGTGGACACTGGGGCCACCAGTCCTCTTTATTTCTTTAAAGTGAAATGAAAATAGCCTTTTTCTCTGATTATAGAAGTACCATATGCTCACACATTATATAAAGAAGAGACTGAAGTAAAGAATCCCTTCAAGTGTTTTGCTGTGTCCTCACAGGCTGCACAGATGTGGTGATCTTCCACCAGAGCTGGGGAAGCACTGTGCACAGAGACCTACCTGGTTAGCGCCCACAGTCTCCCTGACAAACATGGATACTCGGTCCCTGCCGGGACCTCCAAAGCACAGTGCTTGTCTATAAGCACTGAGTAATCTGTGGTGTTGCTCAGACTTTACCTCATAATGCTGTGTGGGAGAAATATTAATGCACTTGGTTATGGATCACCCCTCCGGATCCCACTGAGAGGTGACATATATCAACCATAGCGTGTTTTCTGAAATCTGAAATATTCTGAATTCTGGAACACACCCAGCCCCAAGAGTTTTAGGATGACGATGTACAATAATTTATTTAAGCAACTTTCTATTGATGGACAACAAAAATAAATAGTATATAGATTTTATATTCAGAATAATGGTGTAGTGAATAATCATGTGTATACATGTTTGCACATTCATGTGAGTACTTCAATAAATATTGAGAAGTTACTTCCCAGAAAGATATACTAATACACTACCACCAACCCTGTATGAGTGGCCATTTCCTCACCAACACCAAACATTACCTGTCTTTAAGGTTTTTTTTTTTTTTTTCCTATCTTTAGGTTTTTATCCATCTGATTGGTTAGAAATAAATGTGTGTGTGAGAGAGAAAGAGAAAGAGAGGAGAAGGGGATCTAACATTTCTGTAATAAAGAGTGAAGTTCACCTTTTCATGTTTATTAACAATTGTGTTCTCTTTGGATTACATATTTATATCTTGCTCATTTTTCATTGGGTTATTTTCTTAGTCTATTTATAAATTAGCAATATAAATCCATAAATTATATAAAGTGCTTATAAATTAGCTTAGCAACTAGAAATATAAACTGAAACATGTTGTAAATATGTTTGCAGTTTATGGTAATGAGGTTTAAAAAATTATTTTTTCTACGGCATATTTTTATAGATAATAATGTGATAGCATTATGTATTCAAACCTAGCATGACTTTCCTTTGTCTTATCTGACTTATCAGGCCTAAAAAGTCCTTCCCTACCTTTACTTGTGAAACTTAAATTTTCCTCAAGAACTGTTTTGTGTACATTTGAAATTTTTTCAGCGAAAGCAGGAATTGAGTATTTTCCTACCAGATAATGAGCCAGTCTCAGTACCATTTATTAATCTATTTCTTATATTATTACTCCTGAATGGAAATTCCACTTGGGAGCTGGATGAAGAAGCCCCAAGGCACCGAGTTAGGACTCCCTGGAGGTCTGGATGGTGGAGCCTGTGGAGAGGTGGGGCCTCCACCCCTGTGGGCAGCCCAGGAGCCCTCTGTGCGCCCAGGCCCTTTCTCCCAGGGAGCGAGAGCAGACAGGCGAGATGCTGCTGGGCGGGGAGACCTGCAGAAGCCAAGACGTGCAGGAAGCAGGAAGACGTGGACCAGAGGGAGGCTCAGGAAGGGAGGAACCCAGGCATTGAAACCGAGCAGACCGCATGACTGGAAGAAATGAAAGAGCGGTGTGTTTTCCCTGTATCCAAGGCCTCACCATCAGTCTGAGCTGCCCTTTCAAAGTCTCAGGCTGTGGCATGAAGTGTCCTGAGGGGCTTGGAGGGTGGGCACTGTGCTCCTCACATCTGGGCAATTTTTCAGGTAGAACCTTTTGCCAGCTTGTCTGAAGCCGTGCAGAGCTCAGTGCCCCGACTGCTCATCAACCGGGACTTGGTGGGGCCCTTTGCTTGGCGTCCTCGCAACAGGGATGTGGTCCAGCTGGGGGATGTGGTTCACGGCGTGGAGAGGCTGGTGGAGCTTCTGGGCTGGACAGAAGAGTTGCAGGACCTCATCCAGCAGGAAACGGAAAAGGTACAGACTGTCAAGCAGGGTCCTCTGAAGGGCTGTCTTCCTCACTGCTCTGGGGTCTGGGTCCACCTGATGTGGAGTCCTGGCTGGCTGAAAAGTGACAAAAGTAGCTAATATTGGCTGTTAATCCTGTGCCACCACTGTCTGGGGCCTTCTGTGTGCTTATGAATCAGGCGTTGTGACTCACATTATCTCCGTGTGGGAGATGGAAGACAGGGACTCCAGGTGCCTGCTCTCTAGACGTAGAGCTGTGACTGGGTCCAGGCCGACTGGGCTGCTCTCACTGAAGCCTTGCCTTTCGTCTCCTAAAGAAAGCAGCACAAACAGCTCCAGGCTGAGGTGTGGTTCTGAGATGAACTTTGAGGAGCTGAACTTCTGTGTGCTGCTGGTGTGGGATGAAGCCCAACCTGGGGATGCTTTTAGGAGATGATCAGCACGAGTGCCATTGGCCTATGACAATCTGCTGAGGTAGAAAGCCAAAGACCCTTGGTGCTCTCGAGGTTTCAAACCTGTTCCCAAGTGAAGTTTCCCGTAAGAATCAGCATGGGTGGCCCTGGTGTAAGTGGTTATTTTCTAAAGGAGGCAGCATTAAGCATTTGAAGTCCAGTCGTCTCAAAGAGGATCATGTGACACTGCCCAAAGGGGATGGGGCAGAGAGGTCTTGGGAAAGCCTCGCCCTTTGGCTGTGAGTCCCTCAGGACTCAGGACCGTGGGGCGGGCCTTTCCCCTCACCTCCACTGGCCAAAGCCCCCAGCCTCTGGCTGCAGCCTGGTTTCTTACCAAGTTGAACTAAAGAAAGAAGAATACGAGGCGTATTAGTAAGGCCAGGAGGCTTCGTGCTTACTGTTTCCACACATTTTAGACATTGTGGCCAGTTTTTTCTAGCTGTCCGTTCCAGAGTTTAGCTCTAATGGCTAAGATGTAGGCTGGTATCACTCCTTAACTCATTATAAATGTCAAAGTTATGTTGCTGGGTCATTTTATGGAAGTAGAGAAGGCAGGTAGCACCCAAGCCTATACTTTGCACCAGGTGCCTTGGTCAGATCCACCTGGCAGCTTCCTGGCCCTGATGTCCTATTTCCATGCAACAAGACTGAGTCATGTGACCCCCAGGGATTTTTTGGAAGTAGTCCTACAGGATTTGACCTGTGTGATTTTACAGTCTGACGGAAATTTATATAAAGTGGGTTCTGGTTTTAGGGGTTTATATATATAATAAAAAGTTGCTATCCAAGAGTAAATATTGAGGGATAAGCTGCAGTCCAGCTTGGGGTTACTTTCCCAAATAGTGCCTATTTTTGAGCATGTGAGCTTCAGCACATCTCACCTGGTTACTTAAATGGAGCTTTCTGGTTAGCCACCCAGTTTTGCCCAGTCCTGCTGGGCATCGTGTTCCTTTGGCTCAACAGCAGCATCTGCAGAAGCAGAAAAGCTTTTGTTTAATGAAATAGTTTGAACCCAGGCCCTGAGAGCTGTGGGACTGATTGCCTTCTTCCTCCGTGTTCCAGCTTGACAGACGGGACAGATAAAGAGTGATGGCTGCTTCCCCCCCCAGCCTACCCCCCCGGACCAGAAATGGTTCCGAGGAGTCACTGCCCACCTCTGAGAAGTTTTGGCTGAACCAGAACCCGTGGCCCGAGGAAAAGTGAGAGGCTGCCTGGGCCCTGAGTTCTGTGCCGACGGGTCATGTCAGGCTTACACTGCAGGCCATCCCGGTCCCGGGCACCAAGCTGCCCAGCGCCTTTCTGCTGTTTGACTCTTCAGTCTGCTGAAGCTCTGGATGCCGAACAAAAGCTTTCTCCTGACAGTGACCCTCTGGAACTCCAGCAGACCAACGGGAAGCCCAGACTGGATCTGCTCTGTGTCTGGGTCTCCATCTGAAGGGCAGGCTCCCCATCTGCCTGTCTGTTAGAAAAACCGTGTTGGGCGGAGTGGCCACAGCCATTCCCAAGGCATGGTCCTGGGTCCCACGTAACAGGATAGGGTCCTGTAGCATGTTGGCCTCCTTAGTAGGATTATTTTTCATTAGAGAAACTTTGTTCTTCATTTCTGGCATGAAATAAACTCTTTGGTCTCCTCAAAGGGAATGTGGGTGTTGACAATGAATATGGAAAGGGGACCTTGGATGTGCATGGACATTCCCCCCCACTGGAATAACCTAAGGATGGAGAACATGCCCCTGGATTCACCCTGGAGAGGGGCCTAGTGCCGTTTCCCACGGAGCCCCAGCACCCCTCACTGAAGGGCATCATCCCCTTTTCACTCTACCCTTAATGCCTCTCGCCTCAACCTCTCCCCCAGAAAGTCCTCTGCTTGGGCAGCTCTCTAACCAGCCCCGTGCCCACTCTCCCCCTACAGGCCTTCCCAGTAATGCCCCCAGGATTAACCTCTATGTTGTGGAAGGCATTACTCATTTAGAAACCTTGGCTGGCCTCTAGCCCACCCTGTACTCAACCCATACTTCCCGTGCCTACACAGGCCCTTTCTGCTGGGGTTGCTCCAAGGCCCAGCTTGGACAGCACCACCCAGGCACACCTTCCTGATCCCTGGCTCCTACCCTGTGTGTGGTCCCTCCTTCCAGGCATTGTTTCCCCACCCGTGGCACAATTAACAGACTCCTGAGAGGGGCCTCCTCAAGAACAGAAGACATGACTAATGATCTAGGGAAAGGGCCGAATTCTGAAAAGAATGAAATTAATCCCCCATACACACGCTTTTGCTTCAAACTCTTTATTCCAAGATGATGTTTTTGTGATGCTTTGTGGCATGTGACAGAAATCCAGACTTAGGGCTTTAAGAGGTGCACTTCCCTTCATATGTTTATGGTCAGGATTCCACTGTCACCACCAGTGAGAGCTTGGGTGCTGTGGATACTACAGCAGACAGCTTAGCGAGGACCAAGGAGGCGTACGAGGCTACCAGTCCTGAGCTCAGTGGGGACAGAAACAGCACAGCATACCTTGGAAGTATGTTTCTGACACTAGTATACACAGTTCTAGCAAGTTCTTTTCCCGTGAACTGCAGCGCTTGCTTGACATGGAAGCTCTGGGCATGCATGCCAGACCTAGAAAATGTTTGTGTGTGCCCGCGCTCAGCCTCTGCCCCAGGCATCAGCCTCTGCATACATCCTCTTGGCACACACATGAGAACTACTTCATCTGTGGAAATCAAGGCTGAGTTCCCAGAGCTGCAGCAGGACAAGGCCCTCACAGTCCTAAAGATAAGAAATTGGACCAGAGACAAATCATTAACAGAATTTTGAAGTAAAGAGAAAGGGTCTCTGAGCTGGAGAGAGGGACATGGCTTCCCCGGGTCACAGTCCCAAGGACATCTCTGGAAGCAGCACCAGTTCTGAAGGGGGAACAGAAGACTGCTGTCCTCAGTCGGGGTCTGAGTCGGGTTCCGAGGAGAGCTGCCCCTCCATGGTCTCACAAATGGCATCCTGCAGGGATGTCAGCTGACCCCGGGGACTCATCCCCATGGGCTGGATGACTCTGTGCCTGTGAGGGAAAAGCATGGTGCGGCTGGGGAAGGGGCCTGACGGGGGCGGGGGGGGGGGGGGGGGGCGGTGGCAGAAGTCCTGTTCAACCTCGACTACTTCCTTGTGCTCCACTAAGTTGTTCCTGTTTCCTGGGGAATCCCAACTGCTATCCGGTGGCTCTGGGACGTTGTGCAGACTCTTAATTTCTCTAGATCTCGATTTTCATCGTCTGCGCAACAAACATAATATCAATCTCAAGTCTAATCCCTTCCTGGGGCGTTTCCTTTGTCTCAAACCTTAGGAATGCAGCCTGGCCTAAGCCTGGCTCTGACCTCACCTCCTGGGGCCCACCAGACTGCACACAGGCCGGGGGTCCTGCCCTCCCTTCTCCCAGCCGTGGGCCCCTCCTCGCCACACCACGTACCTGGAGAGCTTGTCAAACATGTTCACCAGCTTCATGGCCTCATGCTCTTTCTGCTCCTCCGTCATGCCCTCCGTGGGGTTGGGCGGCTTCTCCTCCACCCTCCCGGTCACTGGGTTTATGCTGCTTCCCAGGGGAGGGGGTGTAGGGGATGCATCAGTGACTCTCTAGGACAGGAGGCCGCTGCACGCGGTGGGTGGAGTCCCACACGTCCTGCCTGGCCTGACGAGCCCACTCTCCGGGGGCGGGGCACGAAGCAGGGCAGCTGCAGGAGGCCTCCCTCCAGGGGCGGTGAACCAGCTCCTGCCACCTGGAACTCCTGGTCCCCCAACTGCCTGGCCCCCTTCAGTCCATGTTCTCAACAGAACACCCTGACATCAGCATGTATCGCTCACGGGACCAGTGCCCGACTCCCAAAGTCCTACCCGTCTTGTCGTCCTGTGTCCCACCCACCCCGAGGGTCCATATGGCTGTGGGACCAGGGACCAGGCTGAGTGAGGGAGCCGAGGGGGTAGGGGCACACACCTGGCCTTGGCTTCCTTGTACTCATCGGTGTCTGTGTCCTCGTCCTCCGAATACTGGCCCTCAGGCCGGCCCCCCGCCATGAGGCCCCTGGCAGCCAGGAGGCCGGCGGCATTCCCGTAGCCCGTGTACTTGATGAATCGGGGCACTGAGGGGCAGGGCAGAGGTCAGTGTGCGAAGGTGGCTGGGAGGGACAGGCGTGGGGCTGGATCCCAGCACTCACCATTCTCAGAGCACAGGACAAAAAGGAACTCAGCGGCCACTCTCTTCACATCAGTGTCCAGGTGTGTCATGAGGCGAACGAGCTTGTTCCTCAACAACTCCCCAACCTCGGGCCGGGTCCTCACGTCCCGCAGTGGGGGCAGCACCTGGGGAGGCAGCCGTCCCTCAGCCTGGGCCCGAAGTGGCTGGGGTCTGTGACCAGGGCCCTACCCCAGCCCCTCTGCCCCATACCTGGGACTTCAGGAACTTCCTGGCAGGGCGGTGCATGCGGGCACACTCTGTCAGCACGCTCAGCACGGGGGCCACGCTCTCTTTCAGCCTGTGCGTCTGCAGAAAAGCCTCTGTCACCGGGGCTGTGCCTCCACCTGACCTGAGACTGGGGGTGGGGTGGAGGGCGGCCTACACACACACACACACACCAGATGGTCCTGGTAGGAGGCTCTCAGGAAGAAGCCTTGCCACAGTTAGTCAGCTGAGGGGCCAAGAGTGGGCAGTGGGTGTCTGTGTGAGCTTCAAGAGGGCCGCAGAAGGAACTTAACTTAGGAGGGTTCGCATGTGCTCTGCGACGTGGGGCAAATAACTCATCTACTCTGACTTCCTCACTTATATACCAAAGTCGTGGAGAAAATACAGGGTGTTCATAGCCATTAGCACACCAAGAGTACGTGACCTGTCCTCCAAAAATAGTGGCCAAAACACAAGAAAAATCCCTACTCTGTGGGCTTCATGGACCCAGACAGCAAAGAACTCCTTTTCCTCCCTGGCCTCCCCCCACTTACCTCCCAGGACCCCAACCCTAGCAGCAGTAGTGGTAAGGACAGACAATCGCAGATATGATGTCCAACGCAGGAGACCCAGCTCCCAGCATACGTGAGCAATGTGGATTCCCAAGGGGTCCACCTAATCTCACTCCACCCCGATCTGCAGCCTGCGTAAAGTCCGCGAGCTCCCAGAGGAGCCGTTAGAGGGCTGGCCCGCCAATGTCCTGTGTGCAGGCACAGGAATCAGGTAGCCTCTGGCTCAAGATGCCTGTGGGTCCCCTCGGATGCCAAGAGACAACTGATGCTCGTTCCCAAGGGCTGTGTGTACACAGCAACACTGAGAGTCTAAAGACACAAGCACGGACTCAAGACAGATCCCCAAAGAGCTCTGAAAAGTCAGTGCTTTGTTTGACTTTGAAAACGCCTTATGGTAACCAGCAAAACTAAAACCTTCAAGTGTGTGTGTGAGAGGATCCACATGTTTCTCAGGGAGGAATCTGGTTTTCTGCAAGCTGGACCACAGAGCAGCTGGAGAAATCGCCCGAATCACACTTCCAGGCTGATGTCCGCTTACCAGTGTGGACTGTAAAAAAGCAGTGCCCACGGCTGCTTGGGAAAGTCAGAGCCACCGAGGAGCCCACACGTCAGGTCCCTCTGCCCACCTGGTGCAGACGCTTCTCCAGGAAGCTGAGAAGGACATGAATCACATCCATGTTTGCTCCAAGGAACTCCAAGGAGCCTTTGCGTGGCTCCAGGGTAAGGAGGACGTCCAGACACTTGAGGGGCAAGTTTCCCAGGAGGTTCACAGTGTGGCTGAGAACAGATGGGGAGGAGGGCTTGATAAGTCGGATCCCCTAACATAGGTACAACCCTCGGTGTCCCCCGCAGAGGCCACACATGACATGGACTAGGGTCTGGGGGCTTGACGACAGGAACCAGAGGCCAGAGCTGAGGGTGGGACCGACCTTGGAGGTGTTTCCACTTAATGGGGTGAGTTCCTAAGGACGGGGGCACTGTCTGCAGATGCCCTCCCTGCCAGGCTCTGTCTGGGTTGAACCACCACAATCTCTGGAAAACCAGAACGTGCCCAGGCACAGGTCACTGAGACAGAGATGAGTAAGCACATCACCCTGTAAACACCACATTATTCGTTACTACCCCAGTTGGAGAGACATTCCCATTCTCAGATCCACACCTCTTGTCCTAGCCACGTACTGACGTACTATAGAAACACACTGACGTCCAGTCCCACCTAGATAAGTGAAGACTCTCTAGGGTGGAGCCCAGCCCACACCCAGGGCTGGGAACCACTCTCCAGACAACTGAGCACACTTCCCTTCCACCTAACAGGCCCCACCCTCACCCGTGGAACTCCTCTGTGCGGTCTCCAGCAGCAGCAACCATCACACAGTGCCGCAGGATGGTCCCCAGGTGCCGATAAAGGGAAGCATCTTCCTGACCAAAAAGAAAGGGATCCCTGTGAGAGGAAGCCCCACTCCGGGATCGTGTGCACGGACCACGCATCTCCTCCACTGCCTCCACACCTAGCCCCTTGGCCTCTCCTCCATACCCTCGAGAGCATTTCCTTGACCAAGACCGTCACCAGGTCCTCTTGGGATGAAGTCACAGTGTCCTCTAGCCCCATGCACCAAACAGTCCTCCCGCCAGGCTGCAAGAGCCAGATACGGCCTCCACCTCTCTTAGAAACATTCTTTGAGGCTCCCTGCCCAAAATGTGCATCTCCTCGCCTCCTCCTGATAGGCTGAGAGCTCTGCCTGTCCTCTCCCCATCTCATACCCAGAAACTTGCAGGTACCCTACAGGCAGACAGATGCAGGAAACATCCACACCATTAAGCCCTACCCGTGGGCTCAGGTCGGTCCTCACCTCGTCCACCTCTCTCTTGATGGAATCGAAGGTGATGTTGAAGAGCACTTTGAGGATCTCCATGGCCCGCTCAGTCTCCTGGGGAGGAAGGAGCTCAGGCGGGTTCTCTTCGGGGGTCATTCCCAGTGTCAGCTCCAGCGCATCAGTCAGCAGGTGCACTCCCCGCAATTCCTGAAACAGCTGCTGGCGCACGTCGGTGCGAAGTGCCGTTAGCAAGAAGAGGAGGCGCAAATCAAAGAACTGGATGTCGTGTGGGAAGCTGCTCTTGTGATATAGCCCCACGCGCTCTGCGAGCCTCACCACCAGGCGGGCCTCTGCTGCCAGCACCTGTGCCACCGGGCTGCTGAGCACGAGGTTGCAAAGGCACTTAAGGGACTCGAGTACAACGTCCATGTCCAGAGGCTCCGGGGCCGACTGCTCGAAGGCGATGCCAGCATAGCGGGCAAGTGCCTGCAGGCTCTGGCGGCCGGTGAAAGGGTCCAGGCAGCTCCGGTCCCTGGACAGGATGCGGATGCTTTGCAGCCAGGTGACGCGGCGGGAGGGTGGCAAGCCCTGCTCCAGGACCGAGACCAGCAGCTCCGCCAGTCTCTGTGGGCAGGGAGGAGAAGAGCGGCTCCACCAGGCCCCCTTGCCCGGGGCCACCCATGCCTGCCCCTTTACCCCTCGGTCAGCACCCACCTTCCTGTCCTCCTGCTGGGCATCATCAAACGTGAAGCTCTGGGAGTTCTGCAGAGAGACCCAGAGGCTCAGGGGGCTCCGTGGGTGGGGTCCCGAGTCCACAGGCCCCCTCTGAGCAGATGGCGCTCCACCCCCGCCCCTGAGTGTGTGCACGCAGACTCTCTCGCCCGAGCAACGCCTCACGGACTCGGCGCCCCTCGCGCTGCGCTCGCACCGCCCGCAGGCCCCTTGCCGCACACACCATCTCAGGACCGGCCACAACGCGCGCCCCACCCTGCCCCACCTCTTCCGTGCATGTACCACGATCACGGCTCTCGCTCACCTCTCGGTTGTACGTGCGCAGAGCCTCCATAATCACGTCCTCCTCTCCCGCCTCCACAGCATCCGCAACCACCCGGGGCTCCATGACGCCCCCGGGCTCCCGCGCCGAGCAGGCGGGAGGGGCTTCGCTTCCCGGCTCCGGGCGGAGTCCAGCCGCTCCGCCCTGCGTCGGCGCGCGGGGGAAGCCGGGACTGGGTGCGCCGCGCCGCGCCGCGGGGCGGGGGCGGGGCCGGGGCCGGGGCCGGGGCCGGGGCCGGCGCCGGCG